CCAGCCCCGCCTTGGGCTCGGAGCTGGGCTTGGAGCCTGCTTAAGATTCTCCCTCTCCCTCTGCCCCTCCCAGCTGGTGCACATGCTCATGCTCTGCCTTTCTCTCTCTCTCACTCAAAAAACTTGTATTGCAGAATTCTAGAAGAATTTTATTTTGTGCTGATGAACACAGGGTGATGACTTTTCAAATTTAATATTAAATGCACTCCCTGGTGATCGGTTAATAATCTCTAATTTCCCCAAAGGCCAAAAGGTATTGAATTTTACTCAAAGCCTTTGCTTTCATGGTAGATGACTACCAGAATTGCCTCTTTTTCTCAGCAACACTGTGACCAAGCTCATGGTTTGGTTTGGCAAGATCTAAGTACTCTCCTTTTGCCAAGAGGAATGGCAGGGCCCTCTGCTGGCGGCACTCAGCATGAAGAGTGCAGTCACTCTGGGAGCTGTCTCTCTGAGCTGGTATGGGACCAATCTACAGGGTTGCCCTGCCCAACATTTGTCTTCTGGCTTTCGTTTTCCCAAGTTTCATGAGGAGATTATACAATGGGGCTTCTTCTCTTTGAGAATGAGCGAGGAGATAAGAGAAGGTTTTGGAGAGGATTGTGGTCTGAGGATCCTAAGCAGCACCAAGGCAATGAATGGAAGATTTATGGAGGAAAATCACTTTCCTCCAGACACAGGACCACCCAAACTTGCCAAGGGTTCCTGTGCCTCAAATGCAGTGCGAAAGCTACAGAGCTGCTAGATTGAAGGGACCTCACGGCAGGAAGGAATAGGGGGCACTCCCGTGGGGACGACTGTGGACAAGAGAGTAAGGCAAGAAGGGTTTTCCAGGAACTAGAGGTCAGATGGGGATGGAGGCCGGATCCCCAAAAGTAACGGAATAGACTTTCCCACCATGCATGACATTTCATAGCAATTTACATATGATTTCAGGGGGTTTAAAGCCCTTCCCTCTTCCGCATAAGAGCCATTCATGAATCCCTGGTTAAGGGCCCATATTCCACAGGAAATTCTTCCTGTCTGGCTTGTTCTTTCCATTCTGCTTCATCTCCCTCTTTTCCATTTCCCAATTAAGTTTCATTTATTGGGGGCCTGAAAAGGAACCTTAACAATAATAATAATAGCCACGAGTTTTGTTTTTTGAAAGCACCTTCCATAGGCCGGGACATTTGAGATACTAATGCTTATAAGTCTATCAGGTATTATTATTTGCTATTTTTAGGTAAGACTCCAAACAGTTGTTCTATTAAATTACAGAGCTTGTAAAAGCCTGATTCCAATCATGGCGACAGGCTCCTGAGCAGTGGTTCTCAAACACTGCTGAGTTTTAGAATCACCTGGGGACTTTAAAAAGGTCTCCCTACTGGGATGCCTGGGTGGCTCAGCCGGTTAAGCATCTGACTCTTGATTTCAGCTCAGGTCATGACCTCACAGTTTGTGGGATCGAGCCCTGTGTCAGGCTCTGTGCTGACAGCATGGATTCTGCTTGGGATTCTCTGTCCCTC